TTTATCACACATTTTCAAGCTACTGCCCCTGAGATCTTGATTCATTGAGTCTCCTGAGTGAGGCCCAGGCACCTAGATTTCTCAAATACCCAACAAGTAATTCTGCCAAGATGCCATGACACCTCTGGATAAAAATTAAATCATTTGTCAGCACTAAGGGTTTGTTTTAAAAGTCTCCAAGAATGTTTTCACACTCTATTAAGGAGATAGATGGTCATGACAAATAAGAAGATTGGACTCTGATGAAAGGTCTTCGATTTTTGATTAAATAATTTGAAGACATTTCAGGTTGCTTCAGTGAAAATTGTGACTACCGCCCTTTCTTGTTTGTATCCATTTGATAGATTTCTCCTTATAAAATGTTCTTCCATAAAGAAGGGTATGTTCAGAAGTGAGAAGATGACCATTTTTTTTTATTGCTCTTTTTACTTTATTTTATTTTTTATTTTTTGGCCACACCGCACAGCATGTGGGATCTTATCAGTTCCCTGACCAGGAATCAAACTGGCACCCCCTGCACTGGAAGGCCAAGTCTTTTTTTTTTTCTTTTTTAACTTTTTTTTTTTGGCTGTGTTGGGTCTTTGTTGCTACGCGTTGGCTTTCTCTAGCTGGGGCGAGTGGGGGCTACTCTTCCTCGTGGTGTGCAGACTTCTCCTTTGCATAGCACAGGCATTAGGCGCACAGGCTTTCGTAGTTGCAGCACGCAGGCTCAGTAGTTGAGGCACGTGGGCTCTAGAGTGCACGAGCTTCAGTAGTTGTGGCTCGTGGGCTCTAGAGCACAGGCTCAGTAGTTGTGGCACACGGGCTTAGTTGCTCCGCGGCATGTGAGATCTTCCCAGACCAGGGATTGAACCCGTGTCCCCTGCATTGGCGGGTGGATTCTTAACCACTGCGCCAGCAGGGAAGTCCCGAAGGGGGAGTTTTAGCCACTGGACCACTGGGGAAGTAGAAGATGGCCATTTTAGCATTAATAGTAATGCCTACTCTTTGTGGACTCTTATTTTCTAGGTTAATTAGATATAAATCACATAAATCTATTTGAAATGCTTCTCTTTACAGAAAAAAAAAAAATCTACAACAGACCTGGTAAATCAGGAATCAGTAGATATAGAGCAATCTTGACCTATTTACCTTTAATTGTGAACATAAAGGGAGAACTTTTGCAGTAGCAACAAACAAATTGTTCTGTCAACAAATGTAGCCCATCTTGGGAGGAAAGGATCTCATCTGGTCTCCTGACAGGAAGTGAGCAATACCACATTTTTATTACCACATGCTCAGGCAGGGTATGTCAGTAGTTACAAAAATCAGAGGATCTTATCACATCAACTTTGAAACAGTCTACCTTACCCATCATAAAGAGTAAGATTGCTTCCCTGGACTTAAGCACGTGTACCATTTGATTTAAAAAATATTATTTTGAATATTTCAAGGCATTGGCTGGGCACCCCAGCTTGTATGAGGGACACTAACTCCAGAGCGTTATGCTTCCAAATGGGATAAAACTGTGCATTAAAGGTAGGGATCGTGTGAACCAATCTATTATTTGTGGCCCCCCTCACAGAACAACCTATTCCTCTTCACTGAAAACTCCTTAAGGCTTTCCTTTGCAGTACTTATTAGCTTTCTAAGTAAAATTAAATTAAGAGTTTGCCACAGCAGCTTATTAGGCCTTGAGTGAATGCTAATTATCCTCTTCATGCCTTCTGAATTAAGAGACAGGAAATAATTTTACACACAGAAGCACACCCTATGCTGATGTTTGGTTCTCAGAAACTTGATACCACCATTACTTAGAAAGAACAGTAAGTCAGAAACCCAAGTGAGGCAGAAAGCAATAAACACGGTCTGCTCAACTACTTGTAGGGCAGAATGGGGGCTAATCCCATGTCTTTCTAAGGTTGAAGAGAAGTTTCTTCTTTCAGACCAGTTGGTTAACTTTGGCTAGAAGTTTTATGTTAAAGAATATTTAGATACCACGCATTATCTGAGCCCAAGGTGGTAAAGCAGTGTCCCCTTACCTTTTAAAGTCCTTTGTGTGCCATGTTGTTTGGAACGGTTGGGCTTGCTGTTCACGGCTATTTGAAGGTCTTTTCTTCCATCAGCTTACTAGTGAACATAATGGAGGTTTCTCTCTAGTTCTTGCCTCTGAGAAGTATACATAAGTCTTCCCATATCGTGAACAAGATTTTTTTGCTTAAAAAGGAACCTTTGAATCCCAGTCCTTTTGTCAGAAAATGGAGAGGCTCTTGCAGCTATAAAAAACACTTTCATCATTCACAGGTGGCAGAAATGGAAGGTTAAAAGTGAGATAGTCCCATTGTGTTAATAAAACAAGGCCAAACAAAAGTGATTGCTTGGCTGGGTGACTTTTTTCCCACTTAAGATGAATCACTCAGTTAATTTAGTATATAGCCATCCAGTTTAGAAAAAATATTAAAGGAAAAGTGTATCTATAAAAACAGTGACTTGAAAAAAACAAAACAAAACAACTGCCTGGAAAAGTTATTTTAGGAGTTACAGTGGAAAACTAGAATTCATACTATTTTATACGGTAAACTTTTTCCAGTGTTTAGTTTGATTTTGTTTGCTCTGAACTAAACATTGAACTGGATTATACAATTTTACCATATCTCTGTGGTGGAAGAAAGAAGTACATAAAATATACTTGTGGATACACCCTGTAGGTTACACAGAATACAGCAACTACCTTCTGATTCCTCTGCTTTTTTTTCTCCTCAGTGTTGTATATATTTTTCTTAAGGTCTTTAAAGGGTAAATATTTTTCATAGCTCTCTGAAGTTTAACACTCCACAAGGATTTACTCTGAGTCACTGGTTAATCTATGGCATTTCAAATCCCCTTAAATAAATCTGTTTATATTTGTTTCAAAATCAAAACAGTAAAACATTTCATAGGGTATGTTATAAACACTATTTATAACCAGCATCAGTTAGACATGATGAGGTACTTATGAGTTCCTGCGAAATCACGCCATTATCTTGTGTAAATGTCGAAAAATTAATTTATTCTTTTCTCACCATCATCTGTTCTGGCCTTTCATAAATAAAAAAGAATGAATGAATTAATTTCTGTCATAAAGTTTTAGCTTTTGTTAGATGAGCTTGTGCGAAGACTTGACATTGCGTGCAGCCTAGCAAAGATAGAACATTAGAAATTAGCTCAAGTTCTCCTTAACCCAGGCCAAAGTCTCCAACAGAAAGAAATTTTCATACTCGGTTAGCATCTGGCAGGGCTCACAGAGGTTTCTGGAAGAGCAAATTCCAAACTGCACATGCAGGTGAAGGGGTCTTGCAGATTGGGGATTGCTTTCACCTCTTCCAACCTGGTATAGAGAAAGTGCTAATAAGTGAGTTTCTGTTGGGTGAATGGAGTGTTTTTGAGCATCTGCCCCAGGAGTTCTGATCCTTTTGGTTTGCTTTGGGGACCCACAATGAAAGATAAACTAATTAAAGATAGCCATACTCACGTGTTATCATTCAAGCTTTACCATTAGGATATGAGCTTCTCTGCCTAGGAAGCAGAGTTTTGAAATAAACTTGGCTGTAGTGCATATGTGGATGTTAACGTTGAATACATAAAGAGCTCATCAAAAGCACACGGACTTATTCTGTAGAATCCAGAGAAGAGAGAGCAGACATTTCGCTCTTCCCTGGGGAACTGACAGGCCAAATGACCTGCCTGTTATTCTATTCTGTAGAACGTATTAAGTCTTCTGACCACTTTTTAGCATCGTTAGATACTGTTTTGTTGTGAAAAATCTCAGTTTCAACCCAGCCTTTTCTGTTCTAATATAAACAGACAATAAACAGATTTTATTCGAATATGAGCATTTACCTTTTTCTCTGGATTTATAGCCCTGTATTCCTAACCAGACTAACAGAATTTTTCTTTCGGGCCCTCAAAATTTTCCTCGGTTGTGTCAGTGAGATTTTATTTCTAGGCTTTCAACTTGTTTTCAAATTACTTCATTCTACACAATTTAGCTATGTTCATATGTCTTCTCAGAATGTAGTTAAGTGCTTAATAAATTACTTCTTTACCTGCTGACCCCTTTTGCATGAAAATATTACAGAAATCCGATAATGGCAAATGAGGCTATGAGCGGAGGGAAGAGGTGATGCCTTAAAGAAAAGCTCTTTCCTTAAATGTGAATCCTGGAGTTAGACATATTTCTCCCTAGTCGGTGGCTAAGAAGTAGAAAGAAAAGAGTGAACAGCAAGATAAACATGGGGTAAAGAGCTGGCCCTGGTACACACACAGCATCATGGGCCTGTAGATACCACATAATAAAATGGGTCTCCTTGGAAGGTTGGCTTGGCTTAGAAAGTGCTTTATTATCATGAAAAAAAAGTCTGCTGCTGCTTGTGCTAACATCTCAATTCTCAGTAACCTCAAAACCAAAGAGTGTTCAAGGCAATGTTAACCAAGGCTTTTTTTTTTTTTTTTTGGCGTACCCTGAGGCTTGCGGGATCTTAGTTCCCCCACTAGGGATCGGACCTGGGCCCTGGCAGTGAAAGCGCCAAGTCCTAACCAGTGGACCGCCAGGGAATTCCCAACCATGGCTTTTTTAGAGCCTCTGGAAGAAAGAACCCTACCCTTCAGATCTCTTTAACGAGAACCAGTAATTTTCTGTGTCAGCGTTGCCATTTAGGTAGTACGTATTTTAACTGACATTGTCCTGGTTTATCCTGTTTCCGTGTGTTTAAACGATTTATCTACAAACTTTCGAGTAGCTGGTCACAAAGCACCGAGCTGATCTCCCTGTGCTGTGCGGCTGCTTCCCACTAGCTATCTGTGGGATAGGGAGGGTGGGAGGGAGACGCAAGAGGGAGGAGATATGGGGATACATGTATGCGTATAGCTGATTCACTTTGTTATACAGCAGAAACTAACACACCATTGTAAAGCAATTATACTCCAATGAAGATGTTAAAAAAAATGGGATGGACAGTGACAGTCACACTTGGGTGTTGCAGATCCTGTGAAGCCACCTGGCAGCTCCTTACAAGCACCGGCTGATTTACCGCTGGCGATAAATACAGCACCACCATCCACCCAAGTGGATGCCTCCTCTGCCGCTCCACCTCCTCCATATCAGCTAATTAGCCTTCCACCACACCTGGAAACCCTTGGCATCCAGGAGGATCCTCAAGACTACCTCTTGCTAATCAACTGTCAAAGCAAGAAGCCTGAACCCACCAGGTAAACCACCTGTGTCTGTGTGCGTGTACGTGCATACCCTTAGGCATCTTACCTTTAAACTTTTTAAACCCTGATTTGAAGCCTTAAAAGTAACCATCAATAGAAGCTCATCTTTTAGGCTTATAATTCAGGTTGATGTTCCTCCACGAATGATTTCTGATATTCAGGAGATTTTATTGGAGAAGCACATTGTCTATCATTTTTGGCAAAGAACACTTGCGCCTTCATGGCTCCTCTGGAGATCTGTCTCCTGTGTCTGAGTCCTTGTTACAGGTTCACAGTGTTAGTTGCTTAACAGATTTCACTGATTTATATATAAATGGTGATCTTGCTCCATTTCTTATGTGATTGTAAACCAGCCAAGGGTCATCTTTTGTTTCTGAAGAAGGAGAGGAATACCTACTGCTAGAAGATTTTGAAAGCAAAACGATTCCATTGCAGTGAGTGTGTTGTGGTTGCTTTGGATCTGTGTGAGAAATTAATCATACAGGTAAAATCCCACTATAGCAAATCCTATGGAATAAACAAACCGGATGTTAGGGAAATTTGATGAAATCAAATATATTTTGCTAAAATCTTTGAAACTTTCCAATCTTTACACGTAGCAATGAAGCAGAGCTTACCACATGCCTTGACTGCAGATTTTTAAGTCGAATGAAGTATATGGATTTCAGTACTTGACCAAAGAGATCATAAAACTTTCCCGAATCCTTGGTTTCCCTGTCATCTTGATCTCTGCTCCCATACCCCTCTTTTCTTCTAATAAGATATTTTAATTTAATCATTCTTCTCATTTGATGTTGAATAATTGGAAGACTGGAGGTAACGGTGAGAACTGAGCCAGAACTTGATGATCACAAGGCCTGTCATACCATTAATAGCTATGTGACAACTAGTGATATTGGGTATATTTATTATCTTAATTTGCAATATTAAGGAGGGAGGTGAATTGCATTGAAATATAAAAGATTTTTTTTTTAAACAGGGATATTAGATTCAAGCATTATTTTTATGAAAAAAAAAGGATTTTTTCGTGTCAAAAGTGACTGTTACTGGGCTAAAGTATCATACAAAACCCTTGTTCAAAAATTTTTATATAGAATTTGTTAAGATCCACAAATTAGTTTCTGTGAACCATTCCCTGAGATAGTGGAAATAGCTCACAAACCTTCCAAAGATGAGTTTCTATATATTTGTTGTAATGGGATTTTACCTGTAAAAGTTAAAAAAAAAAAGAAAGAAAAAAGAAGGAAAAATTATAAATCAACACTGGTTAATATCAAATTCTAACTTGATTTTTGCTTGTTTGCTGTGAGAATTTAAAATTATACACTCGCAACGTTGTTGCATATGCTACTAATAACTAAGATTTTATTTTAGGGAGCTCCACAATTATTTTTCCATCTCAGCTTTTCAGAAGCCAACAGCTAAGTGACAGTTTTCAGTACACTTTCTTTTTATATAGTGTCTTTCATTGATCTCACTGGTATCATAACTTTCCTATTGTAGTAGAAATTATGCTCAAAATCATTACTCAGATATATTTTGTATCTGTATTTTGCAAAAGTGACAGTTAAATAGCAAGTATTTGTGAAGTACCCACTGAGGGCCCACTGTTTCGCTAGGTGCTGTGAAGGTACAAACTAAGTACATAAGATAAAGCCCCCTTAGATTCAGTCACCTTCAGAGTTTAAAAGTAAAGCTTGTGAAGGAATCAAAACATGCAAGCATGAAGTGCTTATAGATGAAGGTAAGATGTGAGCATTGCCTTGCAAACTCCCGTTCATCCTGCAACACTCAGCTCAGACATCTGCTCCTCTAAGGAGGCATTCCACTAAACTCCCAGGCTGGATTAAATGCCTCTCTGGGTTTTCAGAGAATCCTGGTTGTACCTCCATGTCCCTGTTTTATTGGGTTGGCCAAAAAGTGCCTTCGGTTTTTTAAGTAAAAATAAAAGACACATATTTCATTTTCACCAGGAGCTTTATTGAACAACATATTCACCCTTTTGTTCCACTGTCTTCTGCCATTTTTCAGGCAACTTCATAATTCCATCTTCCCAAAACTTTTTATCTTTTTGAGCCAAGAACTCTTCCAGGAGCCTTTTACAGTCTTCCAGGGAATTGAAATTTTTTCCATTAAGAGAATTTTGTAAACACCGAAATAAATGGAAATCCAAAGGTGCAATGTCTGGTGAGCACGGCGGATGAGTCAGAACTTCCCAGCCAAGCTGTAACAGTTTTCGCCTGGTCATCAAAGAAACATGCGGTCTTGTGTTATCCTGATGGAAGAGTATACGTTTTCTGTTGACTAATTCTGGACGCTTTTCATCAAGTGCTGCTTTCAGTTGGTCTAATTCGGAGCAGTACTTGTTGGAATTAACCGTGTGGTTTTCCGGAAGGAGCTCATAACAGAGGACTTCCTTCCAATCCCACCATATACACAACATCACCTTCTTTGCATGAATACTGGCCTTTGGTGTGCTTGGTGGTGGTTCATTTCGCTTGCCTGCCCCACGCTCTCTTCCGTTTCACATTATTGTACAGTATCCACTTTTCATCACCCGTCACAATTTGTTTTCAAAACGGAACGTATTCATTACGTTTAAGTAGAGAATCGCATGTGGAAATAGGTCAAGAAGGTTTTCTACACTTAATTTATGTGGAATCCAAACCTCAAAGCGATTAAAACATAACCAAGCTGGCACAAATGATTTTCAACGCTTGATTTGGATATTTTGAGTACGTCAGCTATCTCCCACGTGGTATAACGTTGATTGTTCTCAGTTAATGTCTCGATTTGATCACTATCAATTTCAACTGGTCTACCTGACTGTGGAGCATAGTCCAGTGAGAAATCTCTAGCACGAAACTTCGCAAACCACTTTTGACACATTTGATCAGTCGTAGCACCTTCTCCATACACTATACAAATCTTTCTTTGCGTTTCAGTTGCATTTTTACCTTTCTTGAAATAATAAAGCATAATATGCTGAAAATGTTGCTTTTTCCTTCCATTTTCAATATTAAAATGGCTATACAAAAATTCACCACTTTTGATAAGTCTTTGTTTAAATGCACGCTGATATGACAGCTGTCACATACAATCTAACAAAACTGTTTCAAATGAAGTTAAAGACAACTAAGTGCTACTAGAGCCATCTTACAGAAAAAACAGAATGAACCTTTTGGCCAGCCCAGTATCACAGAATTGGAAATAGCTTGATAATTTTATGTATTCTCCACTACACTCTGAGCTAGTCAAAGACAGGGAACTTAGTACTCATTGTACTTCTAGCTTCTTCTTAACTTCACGTTTGAATTAAATCAAGTACAAATTTTAGAATATGTGTTAGAAATTCCTAGAAAGGTCAGTGCAAGTGTTTTTGAGAGGGAGGGTGAGATGCCTCATAGGAGGAGTAGCCTCAGTGCCAAGGGGAGTTGTTTGTGGGCTTTTTTGTAGTTCCTACAGCCTGTAGGAACCCTTAAATGGATTTTCTCTGAATAGGTGAGTGACCTGAAAACCATGTTTTGGAAATATTGATCTTCTAGCAGTCCTGGTCCTATGGATGGTACGATAGATTGGAAGAGGGAGAAACTAGAGGAAAGAAGTTTGCTGAGGGAGGGGTCCGTGGTGTAGATCTCAGCAGAGACACGGACCTGAACTTGGGGTGGTAACAGCGGGAACAGAGTGGGGGAATAGGCGCTTGGCTAGAAAGAAGGACTTTGTGCCTAAGTGATGGTGGTGATCAAAGAGAATGAATCAAAGTTGACTGGATTTTGAGTTTAGAGAATCTGGGATAAAGACATTCCTTTTCATGGCAAGTCAGAAAGGACCACCAATTTGAGAAGTAAGTTGAGTTGAGTTTGGTACACATGAGCAAGGGAACACTGGGATAACCAAGTAGCAATGCGTTTGAACCGTTTGTAAATACAGTACTCGGAGTTTGGTGAGAAGATAGCAGTTGTCAGCATTCAGCAGAAGGGGAAGTTATGGGAAAGGAGGATTTTTTAATGGTATGTGCTGTAAAGACTTAGAGGACTGATTTCTGATGGCCATTTCCAGGTTGGAGGGACAGGAAGAAAGAGGCAGTCAGTGAAACAAGGGCATAATCAGTGAGGACGAAGGAAAGTCAGGATATTGCAGTAAAGGTCCTCTGATACTAGCGGGGGAGAGTTTCAGTGAATAAATGCAATACACAGTGCCAGATGTTACCAAGAAATCAGGGAGATGTGCCCTTAAAAAAAAAAAAAAAAAAACTATCACAAGTTATTTTTTTTAAATATTGAGTTTAAATTCCTACAGGACTTTGGACAACACACATAGGTAGTTAAGGTATCTTGTTTAGCATTAAGGAAGGACCAGCGTTCGGGTATTGGTAACTTCATTTTGACTTATTCCCAAATTTCGCGATACCACAAAATACAGAAACCAAAAATGTACCCAAAGCATAAAATACACTCTAATGAGATTTCTCAAGGTGAATTATTGTTTGGAGTTGGCTAACTCCTTGCTTTGTATTTTGATTCTTTTCATAGTATTGGCTAAATATTTGTTAAAGAAAATAAATAGAAAAGAAGACACACAAAACCTATCAAGTTGCCACCTCCTTGTAGATCACATTGAATTTATTCAATACCAGGTAATCATTAGACTTTTCATTTATCAGAACAACAGAGTTGCCACAGGTGGGCTAAAGAGCAATGGATCACCTTGATAAACTGTTGGCACGAGGTTTTTGCATGCTTTTCAGAGGAAGTGCTTTTCCTGGTGTCTTGTGCCTTAATCATTTACCTTCCTCCAAGTTTTGTACCTTTCTAATTCCAGTGCTTCAGGGATTGTGGTTTTACGTGTGGATTTACTAGGTGGAGTTGGGGGGTGTGGACAGGTACAGACCAAGATTAGGGAGAATGCTTTTGGTTTTGTGGTGGCGGTTTTGTTATCTGGTGTATAATCATAAAAACTCAGGAACATTCGTGCTTTCAATCAGATGGGTCACACACACCAAAAACTTGAATAAAAAAAGCCATGGAGTTTGATTGCTAAGCTAGAAATATATTTATTAAAATGTAGTCTTCGGTCTTCACCGTGTTTTCTGTCATTAACAATTTTTATTTAGAACGCATGCTGATTCTGCAAAATCCACCCCTTCGGAGACAGACTGCAATGATAACGTCCCTTCTCATAAAAATCCTGCTTCCTCCCAGAGCAAACATGGAGTGAATGGCTTTTTCCAGCAGCAGATGATGTATGACTCTCCACCGTCTCGGGCTGCATCCTTTTCCGTAGACTCCAGCCTTTATAACCTGCCCAGAAGTCACTCCCATGACGTCTTACCAAAGGTGTCTCCTTCAAGTACTGAAGCCGACGAAGAGCTCTATGTTTTTAATACCCCATCCGGGACCTCGAGTGTAGAGCCTCAAATGAGGCATGTATCTATTAGTTATGACATTCCTCCAACACCTGGTAATACTTATCAGATTCCACGAACATTTCCAGAAGGAACCTTGGGGCAGACGTCAAAGCTAGACACTATTCCAGATATTCCTCCACCTCGGCCACCGAAACCGCATCCGGCTCATGACCGATCTCCTGTGGACACGTGTAGCATCACACGCACAGCCTCTGACACTGACAGTAGTTACTGTATCCCGACAGCAGGGGTGCCACCGTCCCGTAGTAATACCATTTCCACTGTGGATTTGAACAAATTGCGAAAAGGTCAGCTCCAGTTGGCTTTTCCTGGCTTAGAGGTTAATGATAGAAAATCTCTTTTTCTGAGTATTTGTTCTTGGACGCTTAGTGTGACATTAAATGGCAGTCCCTTTTTTCTTCAGCGCTGCAGTTACCCACTCGGGTAGCGAAGCTGTCAGAGCCTCAGTAGATCCCAGGAAGTGTGTTTGTGCAGGAAGCGTGTGCCTGTGTACATGTTGTGGTGGAAGGGAGAAAGACGAGGAGATTTTCATCCCTAAGAAGTATGGCCTTAGTAATACTTCCCTGCCTCAGGGAGTGTGCACCACTCTCTCTCACTACCTCTACATCCTGGGTGAGCAGACCCGATGGGGAAGAGGCACAGGAAATGGACCAACCGCAAAGCCTCTCCCAGTCATACCCTTTCCCGTATTTGTGTCCTATTACGGCCGCTTCTGTGTCACATCTGTTGGGCTCTGTTTCCTTCCTTCCCAGATCAACAGTTTTTACCTTATGTCTACCAGGTGATATTCAGTTGCAATCAGGTCACTGTGCTTTTTGTTCTTTTTGGTTTTATTTATTTTTAAAGCTCTGAATCTTCTCTCCCCTTACCCCTTAGCCACTTCACTGATTTCCTGTACCATCTTCCTAGAGCCTGCCAAAAGTTATACACTTTGAGAGGAGAAAAATTGAGTCTGGGTTAGCCTCTGAGGGTCCTAAAGTCCTGAATGAAAATAAAAAGCCCAAGTTTAAAAGGCACCCACCCTAAAAGCTACATCTGACACTTCTGGATTTTGTGGTAGAGTTATCCAGCTGTTGTAAAAAAGTTAAAGATTTGATGCCTTGTGGATGGTACTTATGTCAATACTTATTTAGCCATTCAACACCAATTTCTAACTTCTTTCTCGAAATGGCTGTAATGTATCTTGAGGTGGTTATAAATTAGTGAGATATAAGTTATACCCAAGGGTGCAAAAGATAAGAAAACAGAAATATTTCTTTTCTCCATCTTTAAATAACCCATCTCACTGTCATAATCAAATACTGGTACTGGGGCTTCCCTGGTGGCACAGTGGTTGAGAGTCTGCCTGCCGATGCAGGGGACGCGGGAGCGGCTGGGCCCGTGAGCCATGGCCGCTGAGCCTGCGCGTCCGGAGCCTGTGCTCCGCAGCAGGAGAGGCCACAACAGTGAGAGGCCTGTGGACTGCAAAAAAAAAAAAAAAAAAAAATACTGGTACTGGTTAGCATATGAATAAATGTCTGCATTTTCTAGTGGTTTAATGTTTCAATTCAAGATATTCTGTGAGCATCCTTTTTAAAATCTGTGTGTGTGCATGCATGCATATATGAAAAGAGAGAGAGAGAAGGTCATTCCTGATAACGCTGGGCACTGGCAAAGATGGGGAGAAATATTGATAGTTGTTCTCTGTTTTAGATGCTAGTTCTCAAGACTGCTATGATATTCCACGAACATTTCCAGCTGATAGATCTAGTTCACTCGAAGGCTTCCACAACCACTTTGTAAGTATAATTGACCTTGGCATCATCAAGTGTATTTCATTGTCAAAACCTTCGCACTTAGGACCCTGAGACTAAATGAGATCTTGAAATAAAAGTACCTTCAGATCCACGTGAATAGGCATAACTTACAATTGTGTTTTCCTGTTTGACAGTAGTTCTTGTTTATTAAAAGAAATGTATGTGTGTTTTAGAAAATCAAAAATGTATTGACAGTGGGGAGTGTATCAAGCGAAGAACTGGATGAAAATTATGTCCCCATGAATCCCAATTCTCCACGGCAACATTCCAGCAGTTTCACGGAACCCATTCAGGAAGCAAATTATGTGCCAATGACTCCGGGGACATTTGATTTTTCTTCATTTGGAATGCAAGTGCCTCCTCCCGCTCATATGGGCTTCAGGTCCAGCCCGAAGACCCCTCCTAGAAGGCCAGTTCCTGTTGCAGACTGTGAACCACCCCCCGTGGATCGGAACCTCAAGCCAGACAGAAAAGGTAAGGGGAGCGTGGCATGGTAAAAGGGCCGGGGGTGGCCAGTTGAGATCTGCATTGAACTGTCATTAAATCCGAAGCAGAATAGGGACTAGAAATTCAGAAGTATTTCATATTACCTAAGTTACCAGCATGTTTAAGTAAAGTAGTATTGCTGTTTATAGATTAATAATTATTATGCCATATGTTGATGCCCAGGTGAGATTTTTAAGTCTCCTATCTCTGGAGCGGAGGTTACAAACTAAAATATTCACAAGGATTGGCAAGCAACAGGAGATGATTAGGAGAAACTGGAATGCCCTTGGCCCAGCCAAATGGAGTCACTAACTAATGCCTGGCTACAATCCTTTGTGGACTTGTGAAACTAACATGGGTCCCCTAGAGGAAAATCTTCTGATTATCAAAAGAAGTCAAAAATTTGGGGGTTTATATGTATTTTCTTTTGATTTTTAAGTTCTACCAGCTAGTTCAGTTATTTTAAAAAAACGAAACAAAACATCACAGACCGTACCACACACTTTTACAAGCTAGATATGGTCTTTGGCTGGTCTTCTGTAACCTCTCCTCCAGAGTATTTAATATCAAATCAGACTTGAGATTATTAGTGCACTTGCCATGATTCTTTAAGAACAGTAAGGTTGCTTGTATACTCTTTCCATTCTGTGCATATAACAACTTTTTAAAAATGATTCTGCCTTTGCTGGGGTGTAAACAAATGCTTCTAGTCCATTCTTTCATACTGGCCTTCGTAAGTAACATTAAATTCTAAGGTGGCATGGTTGGTTAAGAACTCCGTGTAAAAGAAACTTTTCAGCCAAACTGGTAATCTGTACCCAAGTTTTTGAAATTTGGGTTCAAGTGGTTAAACCCCAGACAGCCAGCTGTGTTGCCGCAGGCTGCAAGTGTGATTTAATCTCGACAACCAAGTAAGTTAGTGTATTGGCTGTGAGATGCGTGGCACAATTTCTGGGGAATTCAGCACATTTTGAAGAGTCTCCTATGCTCTATGTAGCTGTTTTTAAAAAGCATGTAATGTTTGTGTAAATTTCTCATTAACCTGGGCTTGGATCATTAATAGTCATTCTAATTAAGTTCCTGGTGTGGGGGACAGAGACTGAGACTCAGAGTATCTTAAGAAAATGAGTTTTGTTTTGTTTTGCTTTTAAGAAAGTAAATGAAAAGAGAACGTTAGCGGCAACTGAGACGCTCCTAGGAGGCTGTCACTTTGTCCTGCTCTCCCTGCATTTCTTTCCTCTGGAAACTCTTTGATCCTGCTTTGCTCTCCCTCACATTCTTTCCTTCTTCCCTGTTTTCTTTTACGCTGCATCCTCTACTTTACGGCTTTCTGCTGTCACAGAGCTTTGGCCTCTGATGCCCCTGCGTGGCCTCGGTTCCGCCCCGTGGCTCCTTTTTATGGGCCCTCGCAGCTTCCACATCTGCTGCTAATTGCCTTGTTCATTATTGACTCACTCCAGATCGCACAGCGAAAGTTTGATTGGTCTCGTTTGTCTGTCCACACCAGGCCATAAGATAGATTGTAGATTGCAGGCGAGCCCACATGCTGGCTGCTGTTGGGTCAAGGGCTCACCTTTGCTCGGACAGCTGGAAAGATGGTTGCACCCCTGGTCACCCCTGGTCACCCCAGAGGCCCCAGCAGCAGAGCCATGATCAGGGCTGGCTGTTTTAGAAACAGTGTGAGCATCCCAGGCTTTTTAGGTGATAACTTTTCCTTTTGTTTCTCTTGGTCCTCACTTGTTTTTAAATCTATTTACACATCCCTCGACATTTTCTTCTTTGCATACAACACACAAAAGTATGTTTGGACGTGTATAGATTTATAATTGAGCCCACAGAGGGTGGAAGGATTAAGATACAAGTGTCAGGAAGTCCGTGGAACATCGAAATCCTCATTTTAATGCTAAACTGGTTCTCTCCTTCTTTCCCTGTAATGAGCGCATGTTGGCAGCAGATAGCTAGTTTTTTTTTTTTTTTTTTTTTTTTTTTTTTGCGATATGTGGGCCTCTCACTGTCGTGGCCTTTCTCGTTGTCGGACGCGCAAGCTCAGCGCCCATGGCTCACGGGCCCAGCCGCTCCACGGCATGTGGGATCCTCCCGTACCGGGGCACGAACCCGTATCCCCTGCATCGGCAGGCGGACTCTCAACCACTGCGCCACCAGGGAGGCCCAGATAGCTAGTTTTTGACACCAAACGTAACCGTTTTATATCTTGAGGTCCCCACATAAATATGGTCATGGTGTGCTGTGGGTGATGCATGGAGCTCTGAGTCCTTGCGGCTTTGTTCCCCTGCCTCTCCTTCCTCCCCTCAGGCTCTGCTTAACACAGTTTGAAAATTCCCAGTATATTTCACAGTTAATGGTTTTATGTGGTAAGCGCAGTGCAGAATCAGAAAAGGTCCCTATTTACATGTTGGAAAGTTTTAGGATCGTAATGAAATGCTTTGAGTATCATCTAGGTCTGACAGAGTTCACATACCCCCATATTATAGTATATATTATTTTATGTAGGCAGCATAATAAAATGGCATGTGTATTATACATCACATAGATTGTATATATGTGTAATTAAACCTCCCTATGTAAATATATAGTGAAAGTACTATATATTCTAGTACATGAGAGACTGTCCTAGTCCTCTAAACCAACCACTGGTGACCCTATGGTAGAATAGAACAAAGTAGGTTCCTTGGTTACTTTTGGAGATTCTGTTTAGTCTTTAAAAAATTAACTGAGCTATTGAAAGACAATCTTGAGCTCATGGGCCACATTACTGATTTGGTATCATTGCTTAGATACAAAATGAACTGAAAAAGCACCCAGAATAAAATTTCCACATAGTGTTTGGCAAATTCAAGGAGAATAATAGGTTTAGCAAAACAGTAAAGAAGTTACTTAAAGTCTTAGTTATAAAAAAAAAGGGGGTGGGTTGCTTTTTTTATTATTACTCTACTTTTTAAAATAAATATGATACAAGAGAAGGCATGAGAAAGTATCTAATATTGCAAGGCAAACTTTGTCAAGTCACTTGAGAAAGTTAGAGCTATTCGAGAAAAACATTTTAAAACCCAAATTCAGATCTTGGAGCAAAGTTTATCCTTAAAAACTTAAACCGTAAAACAGATGTCTTATTTCGTCCTGAAATTCTTCTCATGGTGCATAGCATCTGATGAGTCTGTTTTCATTTCAAATTTTGTGACATCAGATACATGAGTCTGTCTATTATTCTAGTATCTCTTATTAACTAAACCTCATAATAAGCAAACCTTATTCTATAAAATATGGCTTGATTAGTTCTAAAACTCAATATAACTAACTCAACACACAGTATAACTGGTTTCTGTGATTGTCTTCTTGGGAAGGGTCTACAATAAATGAGTGACATTCTAGTCTTGTTTATACCCCCAATTATAGATGTCAGCTGCTGTAGTTAGTAGTACGCATGAGTTTTTCAAATACTTCTGAGTAATTGAAGCTGCAGAAATACGTGCATGTTTTAAACACTTACATTCAATGTATTTTCATGGACACTTTACCCAATCACCCAACTGTGGTAGCTATATTTTCACCCATACTATTTCTGTCACAATAGTATTTGTCCTGAACCATATCTTGTGTATATTAACAGAGGAGAAAATCATAATTGACATGTACTGTGTTAAATATTAGGAAAGCAGATGAGTCATTGGAAATGCAGGACAAATTCTGTTTTGATTACTTCAGCTGAAACTTTTGTATTTTAATGGAAAAGCAACTTTGTAAAGTTTGGGAAATTTCTATAAGATATTGTGATTTCTCTTAAAGTAAGTCCTTACATAAACCTACCAGGTTTCATCTGTGCATTTAACTGGGCCCATTCACTCTCTTTCTAACGTGATATAGCAGCTGTTCAAGCCTCAGATATACTGTCTTTATATTTTGTTTTGTTTGGCTTTGTCCATTCATGGCTTTCTGCAGTAGATCTGACCATTAGTTATTGTATTGGCTTTAAAAAAGCAGTGCGAAGTTACTTCTGGTGTTTTTGTACGTTCATTTGGTTAAAATATCTTCAGGTCCTGCTGGATCTTCACTTTGGTGGAGGAAGGATCCAGAAGACCAATCGAGGAGCTTCCCTAGGTGGAGCTTTTTGGTATCTTTGCTATAAATATTTGCTCAAGAGAGCTTCTAAAGAAGTTTTTTGAAAGCGACTAAAAATTAACATGCTTTTGGGCTTCCCTGGTGGCGCAGTGGTTGAGAGTCCGCCTGCCTATGCAGGGGACACAGGTTCGTGCCCCGGTCCAGGAAGATCCCACATGCTGCGGAGTAGCTGGGCCTGTGAGCCATGGCCGCTGAGCCTGCACGTCCGGAGCCTGTGCTCCGCAATGGGAGAGGCCACAACGGTGAGGGGCCCGCGTACCGCAAAAAGAAAAAAAAAAAAAATTAACATGCTTTTGAAAAACTACTTTTATACTATAATAAATGTTTGGAAGATGGATAAATGATACCAGTAAATATAGCTAGATTTTAATAAACAAGTATTAAAGTTTGACTCTCAAGTCAGATTTTGGGGTTGGTGGTTACAGTTAAAGGAAATGAGTACAGAGTGCATTTTTACAGCACAGCCTCTACGTGCGGGTTTCTTTCCTAAATATTCCTGGCCTTCCAATATAATTATCATTATTATAGTCCCCTTTATACAATGAGACTATTCAAACAAGTGTAAAAGTTTTTCAGTGTGCTACCTTGATTACTCCTTGGAATTTGCAGAGGATAATAATGTTGTGAATTATTTTTCTTCTTTCTTGATTTCTGAGATGCCTACTGGAAATAGTAGCATTATCTGTGAAACTTCAGATGAGTGAATAATTTAGGCTAAGTTAGACCTATAATGATAGAGAAAATAAATTTTCCACTTTGAGTTGAATTTATGTCAGCAGTACCTATTAAAATAATAATCGTGTATGGACTTTTCAAAAAGGACTGCATCTGCTTCTTTGAAGCCTGACCTC